AAGGAAAACGCGAAGCGGGCGAAGAACCAACCGCCAGCTTGGCAGGCCCAAGGGGCAAAGCAAAGGCTGTTTTCCCACAGTTACTAACGCTCGATGTATATGTACGTTTATAAATCTGCTTTTCTTCCAAGGGAGCTGGTGTCAAGCAGCGGCTGATGCAGAGGAATGCAACCTCAGAGCAAAAATGTCTATCGGAGACAGGTTTCAGAACAAAGGGAGATTAACTGTTAGGGACTGGAGTTGCTGGCATAGAATCTCTTGCATTTCCTGACAGAAAAGGTTAAAAAGAGGACCGACAGGGTTTAGGAACTGTCTGTAGTTCAGTGAAGCTTTAAATCGAGTTAACACTCTCACAGCCCTTGGGGGATTTGCATAATTTCCATAATGTGCAGCATGTTTTTTGCCTCCTGATAGAAGCCATCAGTTATGTAAGCAAACTGGTTGCATAATTATGCAGATGGGAAAATAAATTTAATTGATTCAACAGAAAAGCGTGCTGTTCTTTTCACCCGGGATTTCTTTTAACTCAGTGAGGAATGAAGTAAATTGGGAGAGGCAATCGGCAGGCGACACTGATACTGGCTCTATTGCATAGGGTACGTGTAGAGCCAGAGCAACCCATCCCTCGAGCACAAGAATGAATTCCTACTTTTTAGCCAAAGGTCTCAACACTTGCTGCTTATGAATATCACCACAATATTCCATGGGAGTAGGACTGTGGCCTTATCTGGTCTCATTATTCCCCATCAGTTCCCAGGACACATCCCACTGGCTCAGCAAGAGCTGCACAGACATTTCTGAATGGCAAACTTGTTTTATACCAGATAACATCTGTAAAAGTTTGTATTTTGGCTACCACTTGTCCTGTAACAGAGGGAGAATTTTAAGCATCGTGATGAAGTTGCTACAAGCGGCACCTGAGCCATTTTCTCCTTGCTCCCTTGTTTCTGTTCTGGTCCTCGGTCTGCAGGTGGTCAGAAAGTGGCATCAGTTTCTCCAGTCCCATCGCACGCAATGGCACAGGAGCTCTGAGGCCAATAATGTCAGCATTACTTTTTTATACTAGTCATCATACCAGTCACTGTAGAGAAGAGTTATGCAGAAGGGGTTAAGACTGAAAAATGTACACCTGGGATTTGCAAAAAAAGCCCCACAAAGATGCACGATGCATCTGCAGAATGTGAAAGGACAAAAATACGAACTAGTACTTGCTCTTAACGTGGCTGTATTTTACTAAGCTGAGGAGTATGGCGTTAAGATTTTGGTAATTAAAAGTTCGATTCCTACACCAGGGACATTTAGTTCTGCTATTTCTCACTCTCAACGAACATGCATGAGAATTGTACAGCAAACTGAGCACAGCCCGCAGGCCCGGCTGCAGCCTCCGCTCGGGTCCGTCGTCAGAGCTGGAAGCTGCCCATCTCCACAGCTGGGAGTTTCAGCCCAATTTATTCATGAGCATTCGCCACATTATGTGCCATGGCGTGGTGAAAAACTGCATAGTCTGACTGATTTCACACATTCTTAACCTCCTCATGCAGCATATCATACTCTAGATTCTTGTAGTAGTTAAGAGATACTCAACTCTCCGTGTCTGCTTTGCCATTTGCCTATCCTCCTGCATACCTAAGAACATTAATTCCAGGGATCTGAACAGAACTAAGTAATTTAATGACAATACCGACTCACAGATATTTCGGATACTTCATACAAAGAATAAAAAACGTTTATTAACATCTTAACAACTCCTCCAAAATGATCCCCCCCCCAACTGCTTTTTATAAAACATTGTAAAACTACCAAGCTTCTGTTTCCAGCTTCTCACCTCTGTCCCCGATGTGGGTTGGGAAACTCTCAAAACTATTAATGCTTTGAAATAAAACTCTGGTAAGTCTTCCAAACAACATTATTCTGCTTCAGTTACAAGAAACCGTCTGTACCCAACAAAAGTAATCTTTCCAAGAGCATTCCTTGTCATCAGTGAAAGCTGAAGAAAGATTTTCCCAAAGGGAATTTCTCATGCATGTAACAACATACTGAAGGAGCACAGCGTTATCTAGACCTAGCTACTGAGCGCAGCACAAGAAAGGTTTTTTTGCACGTTTTCCTGTCTCCCTCTGCTAACAGGTAAACACACATTTTATTTCCTATATGAAAAATTAAACACATCAAACGAGTTGCTTAATCTCAAACACAGAAGTTCTTTCAGCTATTAAGAAACAGTAACTTATACCTGGGGAAAAGCAAAAATACAGACACTGTCTACTGAGTGGCTGGCTCTGCAAAACTGCATTGTCTCTGTTGTTCTTAACTCTGTTCTTTGGAACCTTCTTTCATCTTTTTTCTCCAGGCTCATTTCCATTCCACACTGGAGTTTTGTCCCGTTTAGCACATCGAATTTCTGTCATTGAAATGGTACTGAGAATGCTGCTCAAGAAACCTTTCTGGCATTTTGATACACATGAAGATGACCAGATTTGTACGGGATTTCAAGTGGACCCAGACAGTACAAAAAGGTGAAATACAGGACGTAACAGTAAAGTTGTTTAAATTGCCTACTGGTTTATCATGGTGATAGGGAGAGACACTGTATTGACAGAAACACCAGATACACCAGTTGTAACAAAACTTCTGAGCAATTGTGTGGGGAGCTTGCTTTGCTTGTTAATATAAAACACGACCGAGATTGCATCCTATCAGCTGAAGATGATACTCAGGAGATGGAGCCAAAAAATTGCACAAATTTTACACAGTTCCAGGTTAAGCTAGAAGGTCAATGGTTAACCTCTGTCTGAAAAATAAAGCAACATTTGGATTTTTTTTTTATGGGGATGATCTAAGTGAAAATTGTAGGCTGCTTAAAATGGAAAAAATAATGCTGTCTCTAGAATGTCCCGAGCTTTGAAGCCATACAGATTACTATGGGAATTTTGTCCTCCTGTGTCTCTTAAACACAGTATTAGCCACATCTGGTACCGCTTACAGAAATGTGGGATTTAGCTGTGCTTCAGATAGCCTCTGTCTAATTGCAAGGGAGATTAAGCTACAAATGATCTTACAAAAAGTAATTAGCAAAACTGACTTAGTTTCTCACTGCCAGTTCTAGTTTGTTGAAACCGTCCACAATTGCTCTTGCCACTAATGCTGGAGTGGCTGGAAGAACTTCAGTGTAGATCCCTCATCTGAAACCTGATCACTTCTTACTCAGTCTTTCTGCTGCTGGGAAACAAAAGCAGAACGCTACTGGATTTGACCAGGTCGATCGCCTTGCAAATGGCAGAGCCATCTTGGTGAATACCAAGTGGTGGAACCCAAAGTCTGTTTGAACTAGTGCCAACTGTTCTTCAAGAGGAATTTTGTGATAGGGGGCTTTTAAAGAAATGCCATCTGATTGTTATTGCTTAATCTACCATTTTTTATAAGGACAGCAGATGAGATCCCTACAGAAGAATGATACCCTGTGAAAACAGAAGAGCTTCTATCCTTGCATTTTTCTGTACAGTTGGCACTGGAGGAAAGCACTGATCTTGGCAGTCATCAGATTCAATCCTCTCTTCCAGTAGCAACTCCCAGACTGGTTGAGCAGTGGTATCAAAAAGGGTCACGACCTGACCCTGAAGAGGGTCAGGAATCTAACAGCTGTCAATCAGATTAATGACAGGAACCTCAAGACTAGAGCAGCAACCCCCCAAACAAAAAAAACACCAACACCCCTCCAGTACCCTCCGCAACCACCCAGCACTAAGATCATGATGGCTTTCATGATTCAGAGGCGCAAAGGACACCTGCAATAAGGCTGCTGGAACTGGGAAGAGACTCATGCTGCCCCAAAGGAGGGAAAGATTTTTCAAACATTGAGGGCTTATGCCACCATCTTGATCTGACTTAGGATGGAACAGCCTTAAAAAAAGCTATGAACTGCTACAGCCAAGAAAGCAGAAATTTTCAGCACAAAAAGCTCTAAAGGGGATGGAGAGCAGGATCAAAAGAGCTGTATTATTGGCATGTTTGTGAAGGCTGGTACTGGAGATCTAAACTAACACTACAGAAGTGGGGAGCTCAGGCAAGTATCAATTTTGACAGAGGTTTCACTGATTTGCCTCAAGAGTTTTGCAGTATGAAATGTTTGATTCTTCTTACTCAGGCTGCAGACCAGTAGATGAAGTGTCACTTAAGCAATTCATGGTCCGAATCTGAATCAGGCTTTGCAGGTGGAAAAATGACTTCCTCAAGAACCAGGAATGCTAGAACCAGCTTGCTAGAAGCCTTTATCTCATCATGCAGTTGGCAGAAACTAAAAAATGGGCAAACCCACTTCCTTCTAAGAGCACAATTAAGGGAGAAAGCAAGTTTTCTTTTTCAGTCAAGTTATTATCAAGACACAACTAAAATTTTAGCTGTGAGCAACTTGTGTAGACTCAGTTCTGTGAAGGAAGGTATCCCAAGTCAGACATGTCTCAAGTGAAGTTCTTTTATTCTCAGTGCTTTTTTACTGGTTTTTTGGAGTAAGGAAATGAAGATCTAAGGGGCACACGGGACAATATCCTCACAAGATACTGTGAGGAAGACAAAAGGAAACGTGTATTACTTCTACAGACTATGAAGCAATGTGGAAAACGTCTCACTCAGTAACAGCAGATATACTCAATGAATGCACTTACATCCTATCACCTGCTGGGAAAAGAGTAACAGTTAGTGCTAGATTCTCCATAAAAAAGAATGTAGGTTCTGAGGCTACAGTTTCCTCTTTATCTAATAATGCCATTGCAAAACATCTATGTAAGTCAGTGTGACAATCTATACAGTGAGGGAAAAACCCACTTTGTGCTACTATCTGCATTATCGTCAATATAAGTATTTAAAAGCATAACTCGAGTTTGAAGCCTTGCTTTAATTAGTAAGGTACAGTCTGAAGACAGTGGGAACTGCCTTTACTGATTTGTATTATTTTCAGCGATTGCTTTAACCATTAAAAACCCAAAGTCTTTACTATTTAATGACTACTGAAACAGCCAGACTTCCCCAGCCCATTTCATATTCTCCTGAAGCCATTTTAGAGCAGATGTAAGCTCCAAGCTGTATACTTCTTCCATATTAACATTCATTGTCGTATGCTTAAGAAAAAGCTTTGGATCAGATAAACGAGCAGCCAGGATCAGTCTCTCCACTGCCGCCTGATAGTCACTGTTATTCTGAACTGTCTGATCTTCACATCTGTAAGTGAATTTTCACAAATACAAAATTAGGTACCACACAGGCCCTGTGTCACTTGCCTGATGCCTTTATACTGGCAATAAGATTACAAAACCATTAAAATAATGCCTTGTTTTCACTTCGCTTATAATAGACTATGTTAATTTCTAGACAAATTATAGCTGATTATTCTGAAGAATTAAAAAGTCAGAAAAAGTATATGTTTAACATATTTTATGATAATGAAAAGTAATAGGATCTAATGCCAGTGAAAAGTAGGTCTGCAATATTCACAGCATGTTTCATGAAGAAATGTTTGACTCTGGGCTGGAAAATTCAGTAAAGGAATGTAAACCATTTTATGAACTGGATATAGCAAGAATTCATGGACATGCTTGAATCCAAGAGGATTACTCATTTTTTGGCACTTTTGGAATAAGGATGTGCCTAAGTGACACATCTATGTTTTTGCAAGAGTGGAACTTACTCTTTTGAAGCAAACAAGCAGATGTACAATAGCATACATGTGAAAACAAGAGAGAAAAAACTTCTCATTTATCAAAAGAACAAAATTAAGAGATGTATTCCTTGGAAAGGGCAGAGGGGAAGGAAGACAGAGTACTCAAGTTTGAGATGCCTCTGTTCTTTCTTAACAAATGTAGCTTTTCTAGCAGTTTCACGTTTTGATGCTGAGCCAGTCAATCTCAGAAAAATGCGGTCTTGTAGGTATAATCTAGTGATAATGGTTGGTGGTTTATGGACAAAAGGAAAAAGCAACAAAACGCATTTTTATCTGAAGGTATTAAGTCTCACAGAAAGGAGAAAAAAAATATCTAACAAATCCAATATTGCTATATCCACCATAAAGAGAATCGAGTAAAATAACTTCATGCACTTTCCAAAAAAACAGCCAAGAAGTGTTAGAGTTGCTTTTTGAAAGGAGTAACATTTTGACTGTGCCCTTCTACTCCACTGCTTAACCACAACACAAGAATCTATACACCAAGATATCAAGCTATCCTGTTTTTGAAAATACAGTATGCTCTTCATATGCGGTTCACACAGTCAGTTAGGGAACACAGGCCAATACCAATTGGCAACAATTACTTTTCTGTTACACGCATGTAAAAATAATAGTAATATAAACCCCCAAAACATTTACTGTTCTATAACCTGTTCAGAAACAAGGATTAAAAACAAGTTTAAAACCAGGCATTCTCTTTCCCGGACAATGGAAAATAAGATCTCTCCTTAATTAAATGATCACACAGATAAATGCAATCAAAACATTTGACAACAAACCTTTTCAGTATTATTTGAAGAGTCTGATTAGGAGCTATTGGACTTTGAATATCACTGGCATTTGAAACAAGAAATATTTCAACAGCCAACAGCATCTCAACCTCAGACAGGTAAGATGGAATCATCAAAAGTTTGTGAGAGAAATTTCCCTGCAGTGGCAGGTAGCAACCCAATGACAAAGCACCTGAGGGTAAATGCAGAAACATAAGGAATTAGGATTAGCAATACTGAACACAGATCAGTTTTCTTTGGTATGTGGCAAAAAATCCCCCACCCAAACTCTTAATGGATTTTACTACTTCACCTGCTAAACAGCCAGATTTGAGAACACAGCAAGCACTACTGACTCATAATACTCACTGTTGAAAAATGTTATTTTTATCAATGAATATTATCAGCGATGATTTAAAAGGTCTGTCAGAAATCCAGGGACTCCAAGTGCTTAATCACACAAGTACAATTTAGGACAGGTCAGACAGAGGCTTTATTAACTATGACCACAGTGAGAGGACTTTTGAACGGCATCTCCCTGTTTGCTCCCCTGTCCTCTGCCAAGTGATCCCAGAGACCCAACCTATACTGCATTCCAGGGGAAAAAAAAAAAAAAGAGGTGAGGAAGAACAACCATTTCAGTGTTAACAGAGCCAAGTACCCATCTCAGGAGGGATGGACTCCTTAAGCAGCCTGCTAACCACAATTCTAAGACGTAATCCAACAGTAAATGACGTGACAATATGCAGACATGGCTCTTGGTGGACCCTTATCAGAGTGGCATACCCAGTATTATAAAAACTCAGAAGCGGGGAGCTGAAAACAATCACAGACTGCTAGCTTTTAGTTGAAAATAACTTTCTTTTAGTTAGGATAAACTTCTTAGCCAGACCTCTCAAATCTTAAATATTAGTAATTTTACCACCAGAAATCTACACAGAAGTATAAAGAATCAGATTTGCCTAGATGAAGAAGTGAAGATGATGAACTTTTTAACCATTTCAGGTTAAATTCTGAAACCGAACATGAAAAATTAATTTTATCAGAATTCCATGTATTTCATGCCAGGTAGTATGCACTGATTCACATTTTTAACTGTCACTATTTCCCAATAAACATTTTGGTTACAAATAAATTCCTGACAGTGAGACAGAAAATACTGTTTTCTTCTTACAAAGTATACTCTTACCCATTTCTCCCCAACATACTGAGCTGTTATGAGCATATGTTATCCAAAGAACATAAGGGAAGGATACTGTTTAAGAAGCAACTTACTTTTGTAATAGGTCCTAGCTTTAGACCACAAAGAACTTCTTCCCAAAGCTGTGATTAATCCTCTAAGCAAAAAAATATCAACAGCTATATTTTTTGAAAGCATGAAGTCTACCGCAGAAGACGAGACCCCAAGGTTCTTGCTCTCAAAACAGGCATTTATCAGCTTGTTAAAAAGACAGCTGTACTGAGAAACATTTACACCATCTGAAATGAAATGAAGAATATTAACTACTGAATTAAGTCAAGTGCAAATCTAATTGAAGAATTGCTTCTCAGTCAGTACCTAAATCAGGACTCTTGCTTCTATCAGCAAAATAGAACAAGGTTGAGATAACTTATGATAATGCTTTTATTCATCAAAAGTCTTTTCATACAGTGAGTTGATTCATGTTGTGAGAGAGAAGTGTTGAGATCCAAGTAATTATTTGCTGCCAAAACAAACAGGATCAGAGAAAAATTTATTCACTTGCCCAAGCCTATAAATACAACCTTCACCTGATCGCTCAGACTTCAAATCTGCACCAGTAAAGATCACCTTGGTGCTTCAAGTTCTGCTTCTGCTCTTACTCTGAACTGTCCACATCCTCTCAAGTGTCCCCTTCTTGGCAGGACTGAGCAGCCTTGTACCCACCTCATGCATCAAAGGACTAGGTCCTTTTAGGATTCTCTTAGTAGATGGTCTTCCAACTAAGCTCTCCTAACATATCTAAAAGTACTCACTGGCAATAGGACTGAGACCTGCACACAGGAATCAGCTGAGGTTTCCTCAGTGGAGCCTAAGTAACTACGCATTGCATCTCGAAGTATGCACCTAAAATTTGTCAGACAAATTGAGCCTGAAAGAGCATTCAGTTCTTAACACAGTATGTAAAAGAAGCCTAGGTTAGCTAACTCAGTCATAGAAAAAAACAATGCATTCATCTGAAGTTAAGATAAAATGCACTGCCCCAAAGATATCTCTACTTTATCTTATTGTATAGATTGTGTATGATCCTTAAAATTTAGCGGGTCTTTCCTGTTGCCCTGTGTAACTGAGCCAACTCGATAAAGACGACAGGTGTATAAACTCTGTGTGTGCGCGTGGCAAGAGCTGCAGAGCACAATACATATTTTAACTGACACTATGCTCTTTGGAAAAAAAAAATGGGCTTGTCTAAAACCATCTTATTTCTTCAACAAGTTTTAGCCAGAAAACAAACAAAAAGAACAGTACAGAATAATCTGTTAAATTTTTAGCTCTGAACACGGTACCTTTCTTTACTTACCAGAACAATTTTGCAAACCTGGTAAGTTCTGCAGAACTTCAAATGCCTGCCTGTATAAACTCTTCTTCAAGTATTTGTCCACTAGTGAACATAACAGATTATGTCGATTGAGGATGTCCATTTTATCACAGGGCCACAATAGTCCATTTGTGGTCCACTCTGACTCTGTGGCAAACAACAGTGCAGTGTTACTTCTATGAACTAAAACTGCTGGACGCTGAGACTTCTGGCCATTAAGAATATACTGTAAACCGTGGCAGAAAACAAACCAGAATTTCACAGAAAATGCAGGTCCAGTTATTAATAATTCATTCCTTATCATCAATACTTCTCGGATTCTCTGAACCTTTATATTGTTAATAACTCCTTTTATTAAATATAATGGTAGTAAAACAGACTCAGTAGCATATATAAATGTATGTGTGTATATAAATATGTATGTGTCTATGTACATATATAAAAATGGAATAGCAAATTTTAGATCCTCAGTATTACTTTACAGAACACCTTCTATTCTTGTTTATACTTCTGAGTTTCTTCTCTTCTTTTCAGCAGATCAGAATTCCAAAAAGCCAGTAATTACGCATTATTTAACTGCAGAAATATGGTACTATTCTAAAGCTATTTTACTATATGTGGATACTGTGAGGGGTAAATAAACACTGCATTGACCCAAGCCTGAAAATATTTTGACACTGAATGTGCCACCTGGCTCAAGGGAAATCTACATGGGGCAGGGCCACTTTCCAAGCTGCATCCCTCCCTTATTATAGTAGGCTTTTGAGTAGAACGGAGTTGATAGCAGACTACGGTGAAAACTTTTCTGAAAATAATTTGGTATTAGTAATCATATTTCTTATACATATCAAGAAAAATACTAACCAGTAAGATGGATCACATTTTATTTTTGTTGTCCTGGTATTATTAACTTTAGTTAATAACATAATACCAGCTTGTAACTTTTATCTGAAATCTGTCATAGAAAGGGATTGTTCCAAGTTTAACTGAAAGCTCAGTTTTTTATAAGACAAGCTTACCTCTCAATACCCACATCGCTCCATCCAAACTTCCAGTTTTAAGAAAAATTTCTGCAGCTTTATTAACAATTTGACATCTTGATGCTAACCTCTCTGCACCTTTCAGTCCTTTCAAGACTGTAAAATCTACATGTAGCTCATGCAATTTATCTAAAACCTTCCTTCCCTGGCATAAGAGGAAGAACGGAAAGGGGAAAGGTCAGAGAAAGCAATGATATTGGTGAGCACAGAGCATATTTACACAAAATAGAGCAGATTTAATAGGCACCAGTTTATTTATACAAACTCAGTTGGGAAAAAAAAAAAGTATAGTAAAATTTCTAATGAATAGTAAATTTTTTTGACTGTGTAGGCAAAACCACCCCACTGACTCATTATTTAACAGTTCCCAGCACACTGTACCCCGTAATGTTATTTGTACTATATAATGTGCCTATATGGTATTTTTAATATACGTTGTAATTAATTTGTATTTGCTTACTGTAGTATATTAATATTTTTACTCTTTTGATTATTACATTCAGCACTACACAACCCATAAAATTCTAAAAAGATCATACAGAGACTTTTCATTTTGCAGCAGAGGCGTAAGTGTTAAACTGAAACAATTACTCCATTTTGGTATAAGCCAAACAAAACACTGATAGTTGTATCCAGCAGAACAATACTCTGGAAAAAGTTGAGCCTATCTGGCCAACAGTGTAAAAACTGACAACTTTATCATCATATTCCAGATTGATATTTAGACTGGTTTCCTACAGAAGCTTCCTCTTAATAACTTTGTGGTTGGCCTTTTCAGGCAAAGATGGAAGAAAGGTAGCAGTCTCAAAGATAATTAAGATCTGACCAATCTAAAAAAGATGATCGAGTCAAAGTGGGATATCAAATTAATGTCCTCTGCAAGGCAAAGACAGGCAGCACTTGTCCTCTCTGGCTGCACCTTGCTGATCAAGCAACACGAGCGAAACTCCAAACTAGCCATCTTGCTTAGTGGGTGCATCAATGAGGAGGTGGCTTATTAAAAATTGTGGTCATGTGTGTGCACTCATTGTGGTGGCAGAATGAGGGTCACAGAGGCAGAAGGCAAGGGAAGTTTAGGAGAACAGAGAAACTGACAGAAAGCTAAACTTACTTGTTAAGAAGCTCATTTTTTGAAAATGCTTTATGCATATGCACATATGTACTGTGGACTGGCATATGCTCAAAATTGGAGACTTTTAAAGGCCCACAGGTATCTGCAATGGTTTATCTCAGCATAACCCATAAAAGACTACTAACCACATCACTACAGTTAATACTTGAGGTGTAAAGAACCCATTCAGCTGTAGATGTATGTGGTTGAAGGTAAAAAATGAGTACCAGAAAGACTCAGGTGAAACTAAATACTTGAAATCTAAGTGCAAACCAGAGACTAACAAAATTAAGGAGGATCTGCATCTATTCCATCCTTCCAGTGAAAGGAAGCGCCACTAAAAAGCTGGTCTTCACAGAAGGATGGAAAGCATGCAGCTATAAGCACAAATGATCTATAAAGGAAGGGCGCCCAACTGAAATGCAGTTGTGGAATGAGATCCTTAATTGGACAAGAGCCCTGACCAATCCTCTGATGTAGTAAAAAGTTGGGTAAAAATAAACCATAGCAAAGTCCTTCAAGACAGGAAATAATTAAAATAGAAAACGGATGAAATAGTTGCCAAAGGAGCATTGATGTTACAGGATTCTCTACAACTAAACACCCACAAAAGTAGTCTAGTATTGCTTGAAGAGCTGTCTCCATGGAAGACCTATTCATGTTTCAAATCTGTATGTTTTCCTCGAAGTACATCTGTTTTATGAACTTTCCTTAGTTCTTATGAAGAATACTCTTGTCAGGACCAAGGAGCATACATGTTTTACCCCCAAGAGCCACCAAGCATCAAAGCTATGCGATAAAGAGGTCTGATGTTCATGAAGGGAAAGTGATCTGAAAAATCCATGTAGAGTTCGTGAGACATGGGATCAAGCAGATACTAGCCCATAACCACAGGATTAGGGACTTCTCTGATACATATCATGGAGTGAAACTGGTTGGAGAGAGGTAGGAATGACAGTACTAGTTCATCCGTGAAGCAGAGATCAGTTTGGGATCAGCCAGTTCTAATAAAAACCATTCAGGGCACAGCCTCATTCACTCTCCAATATGGCCAACACAGGTTGTCTGCAAGGCTATTTGAGGATGTTGGTGAACAGTCTGTTGAGAGGCGGGTGTGATACTTAACAAAACGCTCTCAAAGAAGCAACGATCTAGATATGAAAAAAATCATAGTATCCTAAGAACTGTTTACTTTTAGTAACCCCTGTTACACAAGAGAAACACTACACATGCATTTGACACGTTGCACCTCTGAAATCAGGACATAAAGATGAACTTTCCTGGAATATCAGAGATCCTGCAACCCAAATACCAGGAGCTCCCTTAGGACGGATCTGGAAAAGAGCTAAAATGTATTAAGGCACTTCCCTACAGACACTGAATATATGCTGTCTCTGCTGAAGACAGCCAAAACCCAAGCCAGACTAAGCTCTTTCATGGGCATATGAGCACTGACCACTTCTCAACGCCAAAAATTTAGACTACTTCGTCTGTGGCCAGGAATATCTTCACTGTTCTAACTGCTGAGTTTTGTGGCACAAAAATGCTTAAAGACATTCTAGTGCAGTACTACCGAAGTGCTAATGCAAAGACCCTCTCCCCTTTACTCCTGAACAGCACCACACTATGCTGCAGCTTGATAAGGACCTGCTAACGACCAATTCAACTCAACAAGTAGATGCTGCAAAATTAATGATTCATCAGAATGGGTGTATTGCCTCTAGACTAAGCACCTCTATCAAATATCTCCTGGGGCTTGGGTTGACCCTGGAAACAGACTAAGCAGGGCACAGGTTTTACATAACAGAATTCCTGAAGGTCATCACCTAGAGACAAAGACATTTTAGTCCTCTGATGCAAACTAGAAAAGTTCCCTTGACGATAATTCACAAAAAACCCAAACTGCTAGAGACAAAAGGGGATAAGGAGAGCGTTTGCTTTGATTTCCAGCATGTATTTTTATGAACATGTTGTATGGGATGAGGAACATCCTAGTACAGCATAATTATTAGTTGTAATGATCAGGCCCATTGACACAAAGGTTAAGTTCCGTATGTGATCACTGACCAAAACACACTCCAGAATCATTGGTGGTTTATATTATTTATGTTGTCATTTGTTATGTTGCATGTATAGGAGATCCAGCTTGGTATACATCGCTTCCTTTCAGGAAGAAAAAGGTGAATTTAACATTGAAACGGATCTTGCTGCAGTGAACTTACAATCAATACTGCATGATGCCTAAAGAATGTAAAACATCCAGTGAAAGGTCTAGTCTTTTAGCCCTGGCCCTTTGTAATATCTGACAGCAAAGAAAGGACTGTGAACGTGAGGTCCAAGTCTTTGCAAGATTCACAGAACTTAAAACCCTAGATTCAATGGAAGAAAAGCACTTCTAGTGACGTGGGGAATGACCAGTTCACCAAGTCCAGTAGCAGCCTTCCTATGCTTCTCTTCTCTTCTCCTGACCTTCTTCACCCCATTTGAGGTCAGGTTCAGAAGCATCGGTGCAGCAAAGGGCCCACTCAAAATTCTGTAAATATTGAGTTGGGAGGTTTCAGAATACAGCAGTACTGCCAGACAGAAGACAGTGACATTTCTGGGAAACAAATCCCATCAGCACCTTGCCCCAGAATCTCAGGCATATCAGTCTCCTAATCCAGATTCATCCCTAGCTCAGAAAAGTCAAAAGCTGAACCTGAACAATCAAGTTTCTAGCTTGCAAGATGAAGTTATGATGGGGTCCATAAAAAACTACTGCTCAGAAAAGTACAATAAAGTGCTTTGATCCGGCTGGACAATTAAGAAGTACTAAGATTGTCGGGAGGCAGGTGGCACATCCAGCCATTCAACTACACAAACACAGTTTAACATCTAGAAAACAAATGACTCATTCTTTTTCTTCCAGTCAGGTTCCTATTGTCCAGTATACCTTTATCCACTGCAGTTCTTTGTGGTAAGAATACATTACACTTATCCCAGTCCTTCCAATGAAAATTCTGTCTCCTTCATTATGTTGTGAATTTTTTATTACTGGAAAGAAAAAAACACATTTTTTTTAATTTTATATGTAAATGCAGTTTTAAAGAAATTACACACTTGAAAAACAAGCTCATTCTGAAAATATTAAATATACTTTCTGAAATATTTGCCATTAACAGTAGTAACTTCCTAAGTCTTAACATGAGAAGTTGGGTAAGTAACTACAGCTTATTCAGGTACAATTTCATAGTAGTCTAATTCATCCATAAGATGCTTGGACATGTAATGGCGTAATTTCGTAACATCATTATTTGTAAAGCAAGCTTTGCATTGTCTGGCACCATGAAGAAACACTGGCAATTACAGAACTGAGTAATTACAAGTTTTTCCAACCACATTATACAACCACTTTGGAAGTACTGTTGGTATTTTAGAGCAGTGGTCTCCAAAGTGAGGTGTGAGCACAACAATCCATTCAGGTGTGGGAAGAAAATATTTTTTGTACCATTAAGAAAGAAAAATCAAGTAAAATATTTTTAAAATAGTGTTTATTTCATCTTTATTTCACTTTAGAAAAAAAATTTCTATTTTTGTATATGTTTTATAATGTACTTCATATATTAGTGCAGTAGAACACATATATCATTTATAAATAAATAAATAAACTGGGGGCGAGTGCTCAAAAGGTTTTACTGATAGAGGTGCCTATGAGTTTGGAGACCACTGCTCTAGGGAAGACAGACTAACTTCCAAGCCCCACCAAAATCTTCTGTCCATGTCACAACCGGAAGCTGTGACAGCTGTTTTATAATACGAAAGTCTGGTCAGAAAGGTCATGTCACATATCTAGAATAAATATTCATCATGTTTTAGTAGTTACTACAGGTTGAAAAAAGATCCAAGTCGTTCATAATAAAACACTTTAATATCCCACTGACACTTCACCAAGCCTCAGTTTTCTGCAGACTTAATAGGAAGGACGATACAGATATGTAAATGAAGGGGCATAGGGAGGAAAGGGGTAAGAAAACCTGCCAGAACTATTAAAAAGCTAGAAGGTGTTTTGTGGACCCAGCCCTTGCAGAAATTCTTGGTTCTTTAGAGAATGATATAGATCTGAAAATCCAAAATACTAAAAAAAAAAAAAAAAGTACAAATTATATACATGATGTAACTCTGTTCAATGTGTTCTGAAATATAAAAAAATATAGCTGTGTTTACAACTCTAAAGTTTGTTTCTGCTATTACAAGTGTGACACTTCACATGACAATACTTAAATACGTTTGTCCAAAGAATAGGATGTTTTTATTAAAAGACCACCAATTTCGGTTTCTCTTCTTGATTTCACAAAGCTCTAATGTTCTTCTTTCAGAACTTGTAGTTCTTTGACTTCAAGTGTAAGCACTATGGGTTTTCTACTAGCAAATGGCTTCTACTGAGCATTTAAACTGATCGTATTTGCACCTCAAGAAATTCTGAATATTGTAACATATAAAATTAACTAATATTTAGGAAACAGCACATGATTCTGGTTTTTTACCTCTTTTGAAAACTCTAGAAAGAATAGGGATGAACAAAATGCATTTATTGCATCTTAATTTTTACCTGCATCAGCAAAATCACAGAAAGGAACTCCTGGTCTGTCTGTCTCAGAATCTCTGGTTAGTATTTCGGCAACACACAAAGACAACTTCTGAAGATCATCACAATGTTCACATCCAGTTCTCGCATTAACGTATAAAGCTCCCAGCTTGGTCCAATCACTTTTTTCCTTGCAATGCTGCGAGGAAGGCAAGGGATAAATATGAGCAAACCTGCTTCGAGAACACCAAACAGAAAATATACTGAAATTCAAGAGATACACCTGGGATAGACTTCAAGCAGAAAAAAGGTGCAGATGAAACGCTACTGCCAAGAACTTCCATGTTCAATATGGCACAGTTACATGTTGCCTAACTTGCATGGACTGTTAATTACTTTTGTCCCTCAAGAAATTAAAATCCTTTTTCCATTTGTCATGACCGCAATTGGGGAAGCTCATAGCTTATTAATCCTATTTAAAAAGTGGCATTCATCCAGTATTTTACTTTTTTTTTCATTTTTGCACGATGCAAGCCAAATTGATGGTTATTTTCTATATGAATTAGTCTTTTCCTTGCCAGATCAACTGATGACTTTGGTGTTAAAGGAGTAAAAAAATCAGTTCTCGTTCTTCCCTTCTTAAATTTTGGTCTTGGGATCTGTGCAGTAAGTGTGGTAATATGTAAACTATATTATAATTGTGCATAATAAGTAATCTGCCCTTGAATATAAAAGAAGCAAGTGTCCGATTAAAGAATTTTAATAATATTTTCTTATTCTTTAAAATACCTGCTTAGTGTTGTCAATTACAGCCTTTTACAATTGTGCCTTTTTATCCTAGATATGAATTCTATCTGCTAAATAATATATTCAATAACTTTCTTGGTGAAGTACGATGTACCACTATCAATTACAAGCACAACAAACGTAAAGCATAGGAAATAGATGCTTAAGATTACAGTGTCTTTGAATTAGATGCAAAACCAAGATAAAAACTACAAGTATGTAAATTAAAATACTCACATCACAGAAAAGCCAAAGACAGCTTTTCCCTGCATGTTAATCTTTCTCAAACATGGCTTTGCATAAGAATATTCTCTCATAATCTCCACATACTTAATAATAAACCCCACTAATTTTAAATTATGTAGAAATTGCTGTTTCTTGTGGGTTTAGAAGAAGCCATGGTTTAAGCATTCTAAAAGGCTTGGAGAATGCATGTACTGTACCTGAATTTCAGCCACCGCCAAGCTGAAGTCAAAAAGCCAGTTCTTTTCAAAATATCTTTCCTGAAATCTTCTGTAGGAAAAAAAAATTAATACTTAATTTTGATATACCCTATTGAAATAAACTATGCACTAGCAGAAGGTGATTAGCAGAAGGTGATTAACAACTTATCATATATGAACTAAAAACTGATGTGATTTTTGATCCTATTTACTAAACACTATGCAATCTGGACACTGAAAACAGACATTTACAGTCATGCCAAGGGAAGTCAGTACAGGCATTATTCAAATAACTGAGCAGAGCTATTTTCACAGAAAATATTCCCTTATCTCAATATAAATGTAACTGCAAAGGTATGAATAAGACTTGCAATCTATTAAGTAAATGCAGAACTGTATTCTATTTCTGATATTCAGATTAAAAAAAAAAGTCAATTACATGAAACAAAGTGCTATTCAGCTTCCAATACCTAAGAGCATAATGCTTCATTCTGATGGTGCCACTGAAACAATGGCTACATCTACCCAGCGCAATGCTATCATGCGGAGATACACAACCTACACATGAATGAGCTGACACACGGAGCTGAAGTAGCACAGCTGCTCAGTCTTCACAGACACAGACGGTTTCTCAGCTTGTGCTGAAAACACGCACGTACTGAGGCAACTTGGCAGGGGTCATTCCTTTGTGAATCAGATTTCTGATCTGAAAAGTGATAAAATTACCTCCAACACACGTGATAAGTTGCCCTGGTAAAACACTGAAATGTGCAGCTGAAAGATACCCTATGGGAAAAGTATGAAAAGCAGCAAACAATCTCTACAGTGCTTTCACTTGAAACAGTGACGGCTTGTAGATGTTGCATATTTGGTTTCCTCTAAGAATCAAAGGTTGCTTTATGAATCACAAATTTAGTTTTTCAAACTTGTGTGTGCGTGCATGATGCAGATGATACAAAAAAAAAAAAAAGGATCATAATCTTGTGCAAGTGACGGACATCAACAGTATTTGAACAGATCTGGGCTGTCATTTCACGTTTTGCACAGCACAATCCAGCACTACCTAAGAAATGATCCTTCTCCCTAGTTGCACTGGCACAAGTGTTCATGCAGTTGCACAGTAAATGAAACTAGAAAACTACTTTAGATTGTACCTAATCCTTTTATTGCCTAGAAGGGTTGTTTATTGCAGAAGTACTGTTTGCTTACGCAGACCTCAATGATATATTAAACCATGATGTTTCTAATTTGACTACAGTTCTATAAACTGGTAGCACAGCTGGGAACAGATTGTACAATGATGATCAATACGGAAAAACCTAATCATAACTGTGGTCAGAATCCCAGTTTTGACTTAACAATCCTGGATCTTTGAAGCACAGTAGACTGACAGCACTTTAAAATACAATTAGGCATGATATGGTAGTATTTTCATCTGAAACACTAAATTTGCATTTTCTAATTGCCTTTTAAAGTTTTCACATAAATTTATAAAATTAGACCCCAAAGATGGAACTAGAAAGATAAAATTATACAATAGCTTCTTAAAGACATACCTGGATTTTATGTTCAAAACAGTATTTATTTGCTGACTGGAAACTTGCAATTGGTGAAGGAACTTAACAATACAGTCAAAATGTTCAAACTCAAGGAACATACCAGCATCAATGAGCTGTAATATCAAACAGCGGGAAGAAGTAAGCATAGGAAAAATTGTGATCACTTGCGTATTTCCAGAGGCAAGTGGCAAACAACAGTGGGAAAAACATGTCACACAATCTCAGTCAAAAAATATGGGATCAATGGAAATCCATACCACAAATTCAGCTAGTCACAATATACCTTCTAAAATAATTGTACTGAAATAATATTAAAGTGATATATTTGAGTTTTAAAACAGGCAAGGTATTTCAGAAATTCCAACAGGTAGTAGTAGTACAATCAAGCTCATACCTTACAAAAGGTACTGATTAATGTAGGCACAGCGTCTCTTACATTCAAAGAAGCCACATGCTCAAAAACTTTCAGAAGAACATCTACAGCTGGCTAATTTAGACAAAAAAGCACAATCAGTTTTGCAACTCTGTTCAATTAGAAAACTTCGAGTTTTTATAATAGGAACTTCTGAATTGGTCTCGTTACTTCCTGCACCACACTCAAAGGTTTAAAAAACATTACCAGGTCACCTACCAGTGTATTGATTTGTACAGTTACATTCAATATCTGAAATACTTCCCACAACAAACAGTTGTCGAGCAAAGAAACGAGAAGATCATTCAGCACTTGAGAAGTAAAATCCACACCAGGAAGAACTTCTCTGTAGTATTTCACAAATATTTGGACTGAAAAAGCAATTAAATTAATTTCACTTTAGGGTAACTGATGCTATCTATTTAAACAAGGTACTTCCTTAAATTTTAAATGAAATGTAAGAACCCTTAATTATCCAGGATATTCTGGGACAGAAATATGAGGACAAATGGGTGAAAGGATACAGTTTGGATATAGTGTTAACCTTAGTAGACTGAGACTGACTATTCTGAAATAGCTCATGTTGTTGAGCTGAACACCATAAGCCCTGTGGGTTTCAAGAAAGCTTAGCTGATTTGGTGCAGCACAAGAAAAATGCACAAAACCAGGTTACATTTGGTAAGCGCATCAGGTAATGGGGCCCTTCCAGACGTGAAGCTCTAGGAAGTGAAGTGCAGTGTTACCATGGTGGATGGTCTTACAACACGTTCCAGTTTTAGCTTTGACAGATACGTACTGTACTGTACCCACTGTTGTCTGCATTACAATGCTCAGAATTTCAGCATGGGAACATTACTACACAGAGTGCAACTGGATCCCACATTCGCACTGTACTATACTCTAATAAGCTTTCAAAAAATTAAGACTGCTCAGGACAGGTACAAAAGGAATGACTGTCCAGAGTAAAATTTAGCCCTTTCTGACTCAACTCCAAAGCTCAGATGGATCTGAATCAACTACAGCCCCTAAAATGCATTAATTGTAACAGTCTGCATATATGGTAAAGTGAAAGGACTAAACTAAAGCTGTTTGGGTGCTGTAACAGCACTTCATTTCAAGAGTTTAAGCCTAAAGTTTTTGGATTTGTGATGTTTGGCCAGGGTGTTCAAAAGCGCCTTAACAAAATTTTGGTTCTGTCAAACCTTCCCCCTGCCCCAGTTACTCATTTCTATTCTCAAGCCTAGTTCCATTCAGGCTAAGTTCATTTTCTGTGGAAGCAAGATTTATAACAACCTCCTGAGATAACTGCATATTTAAATACCTAGACTCAAGGGCAAACTGGAACATGAAAACACAGGTACTGGATGTATTCCTTCAAAATCAGAACTTCTTATTCACTGCTGTAGTGGCACCTGTTTCTCTCCTGACAGCCTATTTAATTTGCTTTAAATAAGCTAAGTATCAAAGGTACATCAAAAGCTACTACTGTGTCATACCTGCACGTTTTAGAAGGCCTGAATCTTTAATATCAATGTATGTCCTAAGTATTGCCATGCAAATCTAGAAAAAGAAGAAAAAAACCCCCATAGTAAAATGTTACGTCAGTTTATGACAAACAAAAGAACTATCCACAAACATGAGTTCTATAAGGAAACAAGCTTTACATTGCTTCTATTTAACCCACACCTACTGACAAATGGTCTAACAAGGTAACTGGGTCTGTAGGCAAAGGCGCTGTCAAAAGGACAGCAAATCTAATAGAAAAATAACGTAGATTAAATGTCTGGGAAAGGAGCTCCGGTGATCACCACTGCATTCATGTGTATATACTCACAGCAAACAAAAAAATGAATTTGAAACTACAGTTACTTTGGAATTAGTATAAATGTGTCACACTGTAAACAGAGAAAGGGAAACAAAAACTACAAGAATGTACCAACTAAGGAGTCAAAAAATCATCTAGAAATGAGGTTAGCAACACCAATCATCACAAAGTGTCACTCCTAAGAACATACAAGAAAAAACTCAGAACTAACTCAGAATGGTTTAATGAACCATTTCATCCCAGATCCACTTGATTAAAAAAAAAAAAAATCCACACCTAGGTATTTTAATATGTTATTCAGTATTGGAACATTCTTAATGTCTTCAAACTGTTAGCTTTGTGATACTTACATATCTTGCTTCATCTCTGCAGATGAAGAAATAAAGACTAGTGAGATTAAATCTTAGAATTCCAAGTCAGGAAAAAAACCAACCACCCTTTGATATCCTTTGTCACTTCTGGAACATTCACAGTCTTTCTGCACAACAATGTAAATGAGTCATATTTAATATGGTTTTGTGAAACTGAAAAATCAAGAGACACAAAACCCCTCAACTAGTAGTCGTGGTATTACAGAATTGAGTTGGGTTTATTTTTACACGCAACTTCAAAATTAGGCAGGATGCACTCATGGAGTGTGTTACACAGCAAATGAATTATCACCAAAACAGAAGATACTGGCTTTTAGCCAAGACATCTTTCTTTTCTTAAAACTGTTGATCTGTTCAGTTCATCAAGTCAAACAACACAAAAATTGTACGTGTATGTTGAATATAAAGCTTATCTTTTTATTTTGAAACAGTGTCATAATGTTGTTGAACTACAGTCGAAGATATACCTTTCAGAAAATCATGTAGAATCTTTGACCATTAATATATATGCAGTGTCACTTGGCAATGGGCTAACTCATTTAATCCAAATCTACAGTCCCAGGTGGTTGAGGGCATTTCCAAATAAAACTTTAGCATGTGCTTACAGTATGTAAATTAGTTTGCTTTCTTCTGGAATCTGTTTTCCTCCTCCTTTGGACTGACTCCGAAAAAAAAAAGCCAAGATTGCACCTGGAGCTCTGACTGTTCCAAGCATTAGTGAAATTGCTTGGAAAATCCAGTTGTAGTAGTATTTAATCATGGGACATGTTACATTACATTCATAAAAGAAACTGTGTTCTTCATTTAAAGCTTCTAGGAGGCTTCAGTTGATTCAACTGTTTCAATTTACAAAAAGTGTAACTGAACCTACAGACCATGTAAAAATGTGAGATTCTCTAAATTCTGAGTTAATTGTGATAGATTTAGAATGAAGGTACATGAAAGAGATGTACATGAAAGAAACGATTCCCATTTTCAGACGGTAGTACAGATCTCACTATTCGGTCACCTGTCAGTTGATTCCACAACTCATTTAACATGACAATTTAATAAAACCTGTAAAAAAGCACTATGTATTTTATACAAGCAACCAAATGCCCAGTAAAACACAACTCTACTAGAGCAACACAGAGGCACTTATGTCAGAAGAACAAGCACCAGAATTTATGAAATCCTTCAGCATCTCCCAGCCAGTGTGCACTCGGATATTTAGTAAGCAGGAAAACCCCATGCTGCAGCCCTTTGCTCAGTGAGACTAAAACCAGGATCCTTTTTACAAGAGATTTTGTTCATGTACCCCCGTGGCAGCTTTGAGACACACTCTCCATATTAAACATGGCTGAAACTGACCAACAGGTTAAAAAGTTATTTAAAGGCAGTTAGAGACAGCGTAAGTCTCATTTCTTTAGGAAGTCAGATTAAAAAAAAGCCACAACGGAAGCATACACCCAAGGCCCAGAAGTTGCAAGACTACACTAATGAAGACAGAAATCTTCCTATTTTATATCCTGTTTGTTTCCAGTTAGAGGTTCACAGGATCAAGAAAACAAAGATAGTAAGAACTCACAAAACCTAAACATTTCTTTAGTGGATACGAGTCCAAAAAAGTTCATAAGTAGGTGCATAAAACTAAAATAAAATCAGACCAAGAACTACTATTTGCAGAAAACATGTTTTCAAACCACTTATTCAACTGTGCAATTATTATCTATGCTACAGTCTGAAGTGTCATTGAAGTCCAACTGCATTTCCTGTAATTTCAATTTATGCCCACTCTCTCTTGTCCTTTCACTGGACACCACTGAGAAGAGTTTGGCTTCATCTTCTTCACCCCCTCGCCCGCATCATACACTGATACACATTGTTAAGATCCTCCCCCTTTTAACACTTTGGGGAGTATTTAAAACACAGTCTTAATAGTTTTGTTTACTTTGCCTAATATAAAAGAGATTTCACTGTTTTAAATTAAAAGCCTTTTTTAGAAAAATAAAAACTTGTAACTTGTAGGACTTGCTGAGGTCAAAAGTATGCTGATTTTCAAAACATATCATGTTTTTATGAATTAAATCACTGCTGTGTTGTGTGATCAACCACAACTGTGAGGAGTGTTAAATTCTAGTATGTTATGCCTTTAAGCATCAACCAGTTACTTAATGAAAAGGAAGGAATATCCATTATGGGGAAAAGTATTTCTCTTCAAAAATTCCTGTAACAGTCGTCACTGAAACCACAGTACTAGGCAAGTGGACCACCAGTCTGCGTAACAGGTCCTAAAGAGATTTATTTCCCCTGTATTTGACTACATGACTTTGTTGCTGTTTTACCTGTCTTCCATTTATGTACTTTGGTGCCACCATGAGGTGCCTGGCCTATTATCATTTTTAAATGGACAGTTCTAAAAAAAAAAAAAAATAAATACACAAAGAAACCCCAAAATATACTCCCAGACTACCAAGAAGGTTAGGCTAGGTTTGGTGGGCAGAACAGCAAGTATGCTGGAGTGCTGCACCACAAGTAAAATTAAATGGAATAGATTTTTAATAGTTTTAGACAAATAATTTAATTCTTCAGTGTGTCTATATAATGAAGCACTACAAACCATGGTAATTCATACAAACTAGATTAAAATTACTGATATTCACTACAGCCAAAGATATTCTACAATTGAGGAAAAGGGAAAACCTCCCATACAAAATTACCCTCAAATGATCTTAGTATTTTTAAGCTGTCATGTAAGTTTTCAAAGGGGTTACAAGTCATTAACCCCCCCTCTCCAGCCAGTACTTTTTTGAGACAAAAAGAAAAAAAAAAAAGAAAAATAAAATCAAATTACATTGATGTATCTTAACAATTCTGATACATTATATTTAAGATATCAAGGAGATGTATAAGGTCCTTTAGATGATACTTTTTAACTCTTTATGTCTAACAGGTTCACCACAAGTTATATTTTATATTTTGATTCTGTAATTTCTTAGTTATTGACACCAATGATAAAATTGTACTCATACCAGTAAGATGGCAGGTAAGAAATAAATCTTGAAAGACCTGATGAGGACAACTTTAGGCATTTGTCTTTGTTCAGTTGTTTTAATGTTTTTGTTTGCCTCCAGGTGGCTTACAGAACCACCTAAGTCTTGGTTTCATACAGCCAATTCCAAAATCTTATTCACGACAGCACAATTAGCTTGCCTTGCACAGTTCTTTGAAGTATTGGAGACTCATGATTTCTTTGTTAAATGGTTTGAAAACGCATCTACTTTGTCCACCACTGGAAAGTATTTTGGCTTGCAAATATTATGAGAATTGTTGTTCCGTTCAAGGAGATTACAGCACTTTTAAACACACGTGCTCCTGCTACACAAAACTTGCAGAAAGTAATATACCATAGATGGCTTTTGACTTTAAGAATACGTACAAAGTCTGGATTTGCTTACAGGTCTCCAGTGCTTGGGATAGAAAGGTCTCAGAATCTCCCCATTCTACTACTCTGTGTTCGTACAGCCTAATTCTTGGTTTTTTGCTGATGTCTGTTCTCTTAAAAAGTCTACTAGTTCAAAATTATATCATTTCTTAAAAAAAAGAACTTTAAAAGACCTTGAGAGGAAGAATTTCTCACCATTTTTTTGATCCATCAATTTCTGAAATTTACTCCCTTTACATATATAAATGAACAAAGGAGATGTTGTTTTGCATCCAAACAGTGTTCACACTTACAATCTGTTCCTTTCTTCAACAGATCTCTTTACCTTTTCATCCCCTTGATCAGGAACATGCCAAAACCAACATTTTGCTCTTTCACACCCACACAAAGTCATGAAATAAAATCTGCAATATTTACGGGGCAATTCAATCTTGTCGAGAATCCACTGGACTGAATAAGAAGCCTAAAATAAAAATTAAAACACACAGAAAAAACTCAACAGGTAATTTTTTTTTTAAAGCAAACACGCTGATTTTTTTTAGAATTTCAAAATAGCTACAAATTACACAAAAGCAAAAAATACACCATCTACAATTAAACCTTTGAAACAACCCTCATCTCTATACTGTATTTGCAGCACTTCAAAGCAGACCAAGATCAATCCCTTGTGTCATGTTGTGTTAGTGTCTAGCATGACAAAAATCTGTCTTGAACACCACAGACAGAGAAAATGCAAGAACTACTAAATGAGATGGACAATGAGTACAGAGAAGGAAGAAAGGTGACAAAGTCCTGCATGGCTCTGGGTAACAGTCTGAGAATACTGGGGCATCAATTTCCTTTCCCCTTTTTCAGTGCCCAACATAATGGACAATTCAGTCTGTCTTGAACATGTGAAATCTTGTCTGCTATTCAGTTCTACAAAAACAATAAAGCAAAAAGCATTATTTGATTTTGCTTAAGCTGGAAATAAAAATCAACAAAGCTCCACCGCGGATAGCTGCCCCCTCATCAGTACTGTTCTCAGAAATTGTCTTTACTCAATAGCCACATCTTTAGAGGAGCAGAAACATAAGCATACACAGATTCATAATTTGAGTAGATATACGGAGAATTGTCTGAATATCCATAATAACACTAGTGCCAAAGAATCAGAAATCATTAAGGATTTAACAACTCACAGTTGCATTTTTTCCCATCTTCCATGGCTCAGAATCTCCATAATTTTGCAATGTCAGTAAAGGACTTTTTCCTGAAAATCTGTAATCTAAAAATTAGGATGAGCGCAATAAATGGATCATGTAAAAGGAAACCATACTGAAACCACTCTCATTTATTTTATTTTCCTTTATATTTATCCTTCAAGTCACAGCAATGATTAATGAAAATTTTATTAATACAATCTAAAGCCCGTAATTTAAGTTAGTTTTCTTAATTATCCTAAAACTGAGACCTTACAAAAACTTCCAAGAGTAAGCACATTTAAATTAAAAACTTCAATACTTATCCAAGGTTTCTAATCTAACTTACGGAGATAAGAAATGGAATAAAAATATCCAGAAGTTTTAATTTCAAAAGGGAAAAAACCACCCCACTTTATCACTAATCTTTGCATTCCCACATCATTAGCCATAAAATTAAACTATTTTTCGAGAACTGAAATAAAACCTTTCATACCCTATGCTTTAAGCAGTGCAATATGAAGCTTAAGCCCAATGTTAAGTTACTGGTTTCTTAACCATGAAACTTGGTTTTAGAACTTTAATTATTATTGAGAACAGATTTCTTTCTCTGAAAAAATGAGTAATGTTAACGGAAGATAGAAGTTCAATTTTTCAACTCCACATCTAAAGAGAAATAAGAGCTTTTGAATGCCTTGCTTTCTAGGGTTCCCATCTAGCCCCCTGAAAGAACTGGGTATTCAAAAGGCAGGGTGTGTAGCCCTTTCTGACAAACTGTAATTACTGAAGAGCATCCAATAATGATGCATGTTCTACTAGAGACTTGCACAATGTAGCTGGTTCTTCATCTGCATGTCTCTCTAAACAGACAGGACTATCACAGGATAAGAAGGAGAAATATAATATATAACAATTAAATATCTGAATGTTATGTACTGTCACAGTTGTGTAATTTTGTGCAGTTATGGCAGGCAATTTGGTAAATTCAGGACTGGATAAATTTAGTGACAGGAAAAAGACCGAGAAAATGGTCAACCACTAGCTGCAGAAAAATGCCACTGGGAACTTGAGCTCAAAGTCTTTCCTCCAGATTCCCGCCATTCCCACAGCACAGAGTTTCTGACCAGGTCCTTTCAACAGTTTGTACTCTCCCTACTGACTGTATGTCAGATTTATAGGGGAGCAGGCACTGAAGTGAAATAGCCAATCCTGCCTGCACAGTTCCAGGGGAAAAAAAAGGCTATTTTGCCCTCTCCTAGCACAGAAAGAGCTCTGGCAACTGTTTCAAATGATTTTAAGAAAAAAGATTTAGAAGAACTCTTCAAAATGTGTATACACTTTTAAGGCCAAAGACATGAGCAATTTCAAACTACCATAGTCTAGAGACATAATTCACAGTTGCTTTTTATAGCATCTATGTTTCTTGCACTTCCTGAAAATATTGTTAAATGAAACGATGATAAAATTGTTCTGCAAACTCAGACTGACAGTATAGTTTGCAACTAAGCGAGAACCTCTGCCACTGATCTCAATTCAGGAAATCCATGTTTATAAACATCCATATTAACCACTAATTCTAAAAACCTTAATTTCCAAAACAGCTGTTGCAAAGAAACAGAATACAGGATCTATCCATAAGTAATCAATTCCTGTTTTTCTCTATCTTGTATGCCAAATAAAGCTATGCATTTATGTAAGGCTAAATGTCAGAGTTCTTTTGTGCAGAGAAAAAGAGAAGGAAACTTTGGCTACAGTTCCATTACATTACATCTGGTGGCAGAGACACTTAGGTACCTGTCCCTGTTGTGAAATGTACCAGGTCAAAATGAAGTGCTGCTTTTTAAATCTAGACCATTTCCTTGATCCAGTCTAGTGACTGCTTCACAAATGTTTGAACTGGTATAAACTAGAAAGTTCTGACCTTTGGCAAAGTGGGCAAATCCCTTAGTCAAGTTTTGTGACAGGTAGCAACCAACCAAGAAAACCTGCAGTCACATTCTCTGACCACAAATCCAGAAAAACAAATTGCCAATAACATGGCTCAAACACAATGTGTCAAAATACTTGGAATGCAGGCATTGCCATACCATTAAATTATCTGAGAACCACAAATACCAAGACAGAATGATTGCTGTTTGACCCTACCAAATAGGAGTCTGCTAAAAAGCTGAACCCAAACCAAAAACACCTGCCAACCTACTACATGAGAGCTTCATTTTTGCTTCTGTGTATGCAAACCAAAACAAATTCCAGCCAAAGCCTTCAGGAACTGAAGACGTTCCTTAAGATTTTATAGGTAAATAAAACACATGGAAAAATACGTTCTGGAGGGTTCATTGATAGAGCATACGATACCACTTGTCCGGGGTTTCATCACTGTAGCTTCACTGAGGGCATTTACTTTTGGGGCATGCAATGGCAATCCTGACAGCAATTCACAGTTCAGAGGATCTTTGTATTTACAGACACTGTTCAGTATTAAAAAACACAAAAAAATGTGTTTAACCAAATCAAACAGGTGCTTCTCCCATATACTAAATACCTAAAAAGGGGGATTAAGCGTACAAAAGATGAGAACTTCTTCAGCAATTTACAGAACACTTAAAAACTTGCTGCAAATTTAAATAGCTAGCAGTCCCAACACCTTTACTTTCATTACTCTCTTTTCCTGGTTCTGTCCTAAAATGTAACTATATGAAATTCAATAAATAAGTAGAAAAGGCACCAGGGAACCACTTCTATTTTTTTTCACTATGCTGACAGGAGGACTGAAATTATTTCTATCACCTCTGAAGAAGCATATACTTTTCACGGAGTCTGTTATGTAATATCTGCCAAAGAAGTAATCCACAAAGCTTCTGAAATTACATCTGAAGAGCCAACTGTTTTCCCTCCTAATAACTGACTCTACTCAGCAGAAGACTTTGGTGATTTCAAAGGGAATTCCAAATAAAGACTGTTCTGCATTTAAATACTCCCAAATATGTCTATTCTAGATAATTCAACTACAAAAATGTGATGTTTTCCAAAATAAGCTGCAAATATTGCTAGCAAAACACTTGGTGATCTCTTTCTCATTTGTAAATAAAGCCAGAGAAAAAATAATCCCCTTCTATCAGATCTCCCTCCCCCCTTCAATTAAGAATCAAGGTTCAGTACAAAGGACATCTCAGCCTGCTTGCTGTTTGCAGACAGACACAGACTTGGTGTCCCCTATGGGGGGCACATTCTAGCTATTTAACACATCTCACAGCCAGGATAATTCAGATCTTTCCTAAATTGCAGGTTGTTTTTTAACACAGTTTGAAATAAAAAGGCTATGGCAGAGAAGAATTGCATCTAATAAACCCAAATTCTTCAGTATCAGCCTTTATTTTTATTCTAGTCAATGTATTGTGTTGGTCTCCAGAAGAACAAAATCTGCACATCTTGTTACTCAGAATTTTCAAGTTACCGTGTAAAATTTTTTTTCTGCCTCCCTGTGATGCCAGCCTCAGATCTGAGACAACAGGATTTTCCTAGCAGCTTACCTTCAGGATCACAATCTCAGCTCTAATTTTTAATCTAGACGTGAAACTACACACAATTTTGCCAGGAACTATAAACTATATAGCTCTACAATAAATTTCTTTTTTCAGTAACAGCATCACTAGAAGTGGAGTTTGCTAAATAAGAACAGTAACTATGTCTTTGTCTACATGAAAATCTGCAATGGGAACATTTCTGAGTAAAACTAGAGAAAACAGTTTGACTCCAAATGCCTCTTTTCTCTAACCACAGAGTGTGCTGCGTTTCAACTACGCAAGTGAAGTAATGCAGCATCACTTGCACAAACACATTTTATCCAGTGTAATCTACTTATGCTATAGCATAAAGAACTATTTATGCTACTAAGGTAAATTTAAACGGGTACTTTACCAGAAGGAGGAGCTTGGAGCTCTCTAGCGGATTAACGAAAAGATGCAAAATTCTCCATTTAACGGACTTTTGATACACTTCCAAGTCTGTCACAGAAATGTGACTGGTGTTGGAAAATAGCAATACCCTCTTCTATGTCAGCTAAGGTTTCTTGATTATTGTGAAAATAACTCTGAAATAGCTGTTACTTCTCTCTAATTACTCAAGTATTCCATCAGTTAAGTATACTTTTTCTACAAAGTGTTACTCTGCTTCATTTTTGGGCTAATGTAGAATGGAAGTTTCTTCATCTGACACTTTAAGTCTTGCCTACAGTAAACACTGTAAGCCCAGTTTGAAGCTAGCAGAACAGTAAAGCACATGC